CCACCTGAGTGGGTCCTCCCCGGGCCTGACGTGTGGCCACCTGAGTGAGTCCTCCCCGGGTCTGACATGCAGCTACCTGAGTGAGTCCTCCCTGGGTCTGACATGCGGCCACCTGAATGCCTCGGTTCTCCTTCATTCCTCCCCTGCCTGATGGGGAAGCCCAGGCCGCCCGTGGGAAGCTGGCCCCACACAGACCCCGGACACAGAGCTCCCCAAGGAGACCCAGGATGGAAGCACCCGCTTTGCGGAGACGTCCACCCGGATCCCCAAAGAGCAGCATTGGAGCCTGGGGCCACCTTGCTGCCCACACCTGAGGCCACCTGGGTGGGACTGCCCGGCCCTTCCCAACTGCTCTTCACAGAGCACTTCGGCCCAGACAGCCAGGCTGAGGGGCTAGGGCGTGGGCTGCCTGGCCATCTGCGCTTCCAAGGAGACATCACTGGCCTTTGGAGCCACCAAGGTGGACAGACAAAGCCTCAGCTTTTCCTGCCAGGGGCCGGGCTTCTCCTGGGAGGAAGGGCAGGAGGCAGGGCCACAGCGGCCGCGGGAGCACCGAGGCTGGCCTCTCCCCACTCAGGAGCCCCAGTGTCTGGGCTGGAGGGGCCTCGGTTCCCTCCCACGGAGGAGGCACAGCCTGGAGTGTGGCTCTGAGACTCTGGTCAGCACAGTCAGACGGGATAGGCAGCCTGGCCAGGAGAGGGCCACCAGCCCGTTCCTGTGTCACAGTCAGAGCTGGGAGGAGGGCAGCCCCCGCCCAGAGGCTCCTCAGGTGATACCTGAGGAGCAGCCCCATGCCCAGAGGCTGAGCACAGGGGCCTGACCCTGGGCCTGTCCTCCTGCTATGAGCCCCATGCAGCCTCTGGGGGGCAAGTCTCCCGGGAAGCTCCCTGCCACCTGCGTCAGCATGCACCTGGGCTCCCAGCGCTGGCTGTACAAGCCCCGTTGGGCCCCCATGTGCTGAGGGAAGAGGGTCCCTGCCTCGCCTAGCTCAGGCTGGTGAAAGCACTGCCCGCCCCATCCAAGGGGAGAACCGGCTGGGTCCCTGAGGCAAGGGGTCCGGGAGGGGTCCTTTGTAGGCATGGATACCCACAGATGGGCATCGTCGTCTAGTGCCGTGGGGGTGGTCGCAGCCTCCTCTGTGCCTGAGAGCTGCCCTCCCAGGGCCCGGGCCAGTCGAGCCAACAGCAGAGTCTGTGAGCAAGACACTCAGGGACAGTCCTCGGCCTCCCAGGACCCTCTGCCCAGGGCCCCCACTGGCCACCCCATGTAGCCCCAGCAGGACAACAAGAGCAGGCTGAGGCCACACCCCAAGGGGATGGCCTTGGTTAGGGACGGCCCTGGCCACGCCTGTCTAAGGGGCGGGGCCCGGAGTCTCCATTGTCTCATCCTGGGCAGCAGAATGGAGTCACCAAGGCCTGGCTGGGAGCCACACTGCGTGGTGTTCCACACGATGGCCTGAGGCCTGCCATGTTGCCTCTCCGAGCCTCAGTTTCCCCATTGGTAGAATAAAGAGAACTTGCCAAGCTCACGAGGTGTCAGGAGGTGGAAGGTGACCAGCACTCGGGCGAAGGTGCTCACAGTCCCGATCGAAGCCTCGTACTTCCTTCCCAGGCCCCTTGTCACCCTTGGGTGGTGGCCCTGAACACTGGTGCTTGTCCGTCACCCCCGCCTCATGGAACCTCAGGCTCTTGGGGGTGCGTCTCCCAGGAAACTCCTCTTTCAGTGCTGGCCTTCGGAGCTGCTGTCTGAACCAAGCTCTGTCTCTCCCTGTAGTGAGGAGAGTGACCAGGGACACATGGCTTCCCTGAGCCTCAGCTGCTACATCACAAAGCAGGGCCCCCACAAGCCTCTGCCTTCCTGAGGTCCCGGGCCAGGGCAGGTTCTCCTATGAGATCTTCCTGCTGCTGGCCCTGTCTCAGCCGTGAGGGACCCCTCCAGACTTGCCAGCTCAGACTGGATGGGATCCACATCCCAGGGCTGGATCCCCATGGAGGCCTGCCTGGGTGAGAACAGGGCAGGAGGCAGTGGCTGGCATGGGTGGCGATGGCCCAGCAGCAGCAGAGAGCAGGCAGAAGGGCTCTGTGGAGAGGAGTGTGTACATAAGTATGAATGTGAGTGTGTGCCCCTGTGGTTTGTGTGGTGTATGCGCATGTGCAGTGTGTGTGTATGTGAGTGTGTATAACTGTGAGCATGTATGTGTGTCATGTGTGTGACTGTGTTTGTGTATGTGTGTGCCTGTGTGAGTATGTGTGTGTGCATGTGTGTGCCTGTGCTTGTGCCTGTGTGTGTGCATGCGTGTTTGTGCCTGTGTGTGTATATGTGTGTGCCTGTGTTTGTTCCTGTGTGTGTACATGTGTGTGCGCCTGTGGGTTAGTGCCTGTGTATGTGCATGTCTGCATGTGTGTGCATGTGTTTACATGTGTGTACATGTGTGTACATGTGTGTGCAAGTGTGTACGTGTGTGTGTGCATGTGTGTACATGCGTGTCTGTGTGTGTACATGTGTGTGTGCCTGTGTGTGTACGTGTGTGTGCATTGTGTGTGCCTGTGTGTACATGTGCGTGCATGTGTGTATGTGTGTACATGTGTGCGTGCGCGCCTGTGTGTGTGCCTGTGTGTATGTGTGTACATGCGTGTGTGCCTGTGTGTGTATGTGTGTACATGCGTGTGTGCCTGTGTGTACGTGTGTGTGCCTGTGTGTGTGCCTATGTGTGTGTCTGTGTGTGTGCATGTGTGTGTACCTGTGTGTGTGTGCATGTGTGTACATGCGTGTGTGCCTGTGTGTGCTTACTCTCACAAGCTCCCTCATGTACTGAGCACTTTCTGAGTTAGGGGTCCAGGGAGGAGCCCTGCAGGATCCCTGAGTTGAAGGATCCCTCAGGAATGGGGAGTGGCCCCCAAGGTCAAGCAGCCCCCAAGGTTGTGCCCAGAGCGCCTGTCGGAGGGCAGCTGAGACTGGCTGTTCTGGGACCTTTGGAGCCCACCCAGTGCCTCCCAGCCCTGCACTCAGCCAGTGTGGGGCGAGCAGCAGTGATTCCCACAGCCTCGGAGCGGGGCGTGAGAGCCACCAAGTCCCGCTGCTGTCTTGCGTCTTCTCTTTTCCCGTTGCCACCAAACAGGCATGTCCTCAGCAGGGGCCGCTTGGCCAAAGCCACAGCACGGGTGGCAGGGCCCGCCCGGCCACCTGCCGCAGACGGAAATGGGGGAGGGAGCAGACCGTTTCTGTTGACGCCTCTAAGACTTGGGGGTCGCCACCTGCCACCTCGTAACTTATCCGAATCCAACTGTGGCAGACCGTGGCCTGGGGTCGCCTGCTTTAGGACGTTTGGAGGTAGAATTTTGAGCTCTCTTTGGCTTTCCTGCCCTGTTGAGCTTTGTGGAGATCCTGTCTACACCTGCATTCTGACTCGTTGTGGGTCTCTGTGTGGCCACCAGCATCTCTGCCCACTGGCGGCTACAGCAGCGTCACCAAGGCCCAGGGTCCAGCTCCCAGCGTGAATCTCAGGGGTGCTTTCCTTTGGCTGCTCCAAGGCCCAGGCCCTGTGGACACTGCCTGCCTTCCCTCCAGGACACAGGCGGAACACACGACAGTGGATGGAGACCCACATAGGCAGGGAGCAGCTCAGAGTGTGTGGGTGTCTCTCCAAGTTGGCTGGAGACGGCCCAGGGTGATTTGGCAGAAACGACAGGACCATTCATGTCGCCTCCCGGGTTCTGCTCAGTCATTTGCCAACCTGCCTGAAAGGAGACAAATTCAAAGAGAAGTCCACCTCCCACCTCTGGAGAGACAGGCCCAAGCCAGATCACGGGCCAGGTGGCAGATGAGAGCAGTGCATAGCTTTGTGAGGTCATGGTGACCACAGACCCCGGGGTGCCCCGGCCCACACCCACCTATGAGGAAGCCGTGTGGCGTAAGGGGTCCATGTGGGTCAGCCCGTGTCCTGTCCATTTCCAGTTGAGAAATTGGATGCTCTGCAGCAGGACTAGCCAAGTCAATAACATGGTACTGCGTCCCGAAAATGTGCTCAGAGTCAGTTAGGTCCTCTTACCACACATGCGCACACAGGCGCACAAGAAGTGTGACTGTGGAGGTGATGAGTATGTTAATTTCTGTGTAGTCATCATTTTTCTATATTTCTGTACATCAAACACCATATTGTGCGACTTAAATATCTACAATAAAAATATATATTTTTTTAATTTGCAAAGGAGCCTTTAAGAACAAGAACAGGCCGGGCGCGGTGGCTCAAGCCTGTAATCCCAGCACTTTGGGAGGCCGAGATCGAGACCATCCTGGTCAACATGGTGAAACCCCGTCTCTACTAAAAAAAATACAAAAAATTAGCTGGGCATGGTGGCGCGTGCCTGTAATCCCAGCTACTCAGGAGGCTGGGGCAGGAGAATTGCCTGAACCCAGGAGGCGGAGGTTGCGGTGAGCCGAGATCGCGCCATTGCACTCCAGCCTGGGTAACAAGAGCGAAACTCCATCTCAAAAAAAAAGAACAAGAACAATGGGGAGCTCCCAGAGAGCCAGACAGCCTGGAAATGCAACCCCAGCAGAGCAGGAGGAAGACTTGGGCCAACCCCAGATCCAATGAGCATCCGCTTCCTATGCACCCGTCTTCCCTCACACGCCTCGGATTAATTCCTCCTACTTAATTTCTCTCTTCAGATGCTCCCTGGACTTCACAACCTT